AGGTACTTAAACCAACGTTTCCTCAACTGTGTACGGTGTTTATTTTAAATGCTTTTATTACGATTCTTAGTGGGCTTCCTAAACTTATTTTGGCGTGGCTTTTTCTGTCTTATTACTCATAGCAACAAGTAAACATCACGTAAAACGTTGCCTCGTGAGTTCTGCGTGCTGCCGTTTACGTGTTTTATGATCACAGCAATTAATCGGCTAAGCTGTATTTAATTTTTAAGCAACGGTTGATCAAGTGTCAGATCACACATTAAAAGCACTTTGGATTGCTATTATCTGTCTCACCGAGACAGATCTCAGACAGATCCTGAGACGCTCCTGCCTGACATATTTATTTTATTCACGGATAAAATCTGACTAGTGATTTCTCTTGGCGTTCAGTTTATACATTCAAACAGCACAGCACTCGATTTAAACTACTTACATGTAAATCTGTTATTTGTCCATCCATTTTCTTCCGCTTATCCGGAGTCGGGTAGTATCACCCCAAAATTCCACTTTCTCCGCTCCACTCCGCCCCCGCTTTCCGCTGCCGCTCGCTTCCGAACTCAATTTTTACTGCTACCCACTCTACAACGGCTCCGCTCCGGTGCGGAGACCTGAGGTGCGCAAACAGGCATGCGCGGGATTTTCGAGATCTTGCGATACAGTCCGAGCAATAAACGCGGAAGTTAGATCCAAACACCCATTGTGTGGGAGAAGCATCGAAATGAACTGTTTAATCTGCCCATCATTTGTGTTGAGAGATCAGCAGTGTTTGGATCAACAAAGTGTGACTACTTTGGTAGTGGAAACTGTATTTATGGCTTACTTTTGTGCATTTAAAGTTCAACCGCCATTGATAGTTGTTAAAAGTTGTTAAACCTGTGCATATGAAACAAAAAACGCTTTTTATCGATTTATTGTGAAATAACGGAAGTTGTGCTTGCTCCTTTTCCTGTTGGGCGGTTGTGATTCCTGTCCATTTACTGCGGAGGTGCTCCGGCGTCCGGCAAAAATATAATCAATCCTATTTTTGCCAGATGGCGGAACAGCGGGCAGCGCACTGCGCCACATGGCCGCAGTAGTGGAACAGCTCTGATTTACTACAACGGGAGCGATTTTGCTGCAGAGTTCGTGCCGGAGCGGAATTTTGGGGTCAGTCAGGGCAGTAGCCTAACCCCCAAATTCCACTACCTCCGCTCCGCTCCGGTCCGCCCCCGCCTTCCGCAGCCGCTCGCTTCCGAACTCAATTTTTACTGGTACCCGCTCTACAACGGCTCCGCTCCGGTGCGGAGACCTGAGGGGGGCAAACAAGCATGCGCGGGATTTTCGAGATCTTGCGATACAGTCCGAGCAATAAACGCGGAAGTTAGATCCAAACACCCGTTGTGTGGGAGAAGCATCGACATGAACTGTTTAATCTGCCCATCATTTGTGTTGAGAGATCAGCAGCGTTTGGATCAACAAAGTGTGACTATTTTGATAGCGGAAACTGTATTTATGGCTTACTTTTGTGCATTTAAACTTCAGCCGCCATTGATAGTTGTTAAAAGTTGTTAAACCTGTACATATGAAACAAAAAACGCCTTTTGTTTATTGATTTATTGTGAAAAACGGAAGCTGTGCTTGCTCCTTTTCCTGTTGGGCGGTTGTGATTTCTGTCCATTTACTGCGGAGGTGCTCCGGCGTCCGGCGAAAATAGGATCGATTCTATTTTTGCCGGACGCCGGAACAGAGGGCGGCGCATGGCGCCGCACTGCCGGAGCATGGCCACAGTTGTGGAATTGCTCTGATTGACTACAACGGGACCGATTTTGCTCCGGTGTTCGTGTCGGAGCGGAGGTAGTGGAATTATGGGGTAACCCCCAAATTCCACTACCTCCGGTCCGCCCCCGCCTTCCGCAGCCGCTCGCTTCCGAACTCAATTTTTACTGGTACCCGCTCTATAACGTCTCCGCTCCGGTGCAGAGACCTGAGGTGGGCAAACAAGCATGCGCGGGATTTTCGAGATCTTGCGATACAGTCCGAGCAATAAACGCGGAAGTTAGATCCAAACACCCGTTGTGTGGGAGAAGCATCGAAATGAACTGTTTAATCTGCCCATCATTTGTGTTGAGAGATCAGCAGTGTTTGGATCAACAAAGTGCGACTACTTTGATAGTGGAAACTGTATTTATGGCTTACTTTTGTGCATTTAAACTTCAGCCGCCATTGATAGTTGTTAAAAGTTGTTAAACCTGTACATATGAAACAAAAAACGCCTTTTGTTTATCGATTTATTGTGAAAAACAGAAGTTGTGCTTGCTCCTTTTCCTGTTGGGCGTTTGTGATTTCTGTCCATTTACTGCGGAGGTGCTCCGGCGTCCGGCGAAAATAGGATCGATTCTATTTTTGCCGGACGCCGGAACAGAGGGCGGCGCACGGCGCCGCACTGCCGGAGCACGGCTGCAGTAGTGGAATTGCTCTGATTGACTAGAACGGGACCGATTTTGCTCCGGCGTTCGTGTCGGAGCGGAGCGCAGCGGAGCGGAGGTAGTGGAATTTGGGGGTAAGTCGAGAGGCCCAGACTTCCCTCTCCACAGCCACTTGAGCCAGCTCCTCCGGGGAAATCCCATGGCGTTCCCTGGCCAGGTCCACTCTGACAGCTTCAGGCGTTTTTAAAAAGTATCCCAGGAGCACGGTAAGGGTCGGAGATGTTTAGTCTATTTAATTTCTGACTATATAAAAATATTTCTTCATTTTTAAAGTGTGAAGTAAACTCCGACGAAGTAAAACCCAAGCCGATCCCGTTCATTTTGTTTACCTTTGTTGCCTGCCAACATGGCGTCTACTCTCTGAGAGTCACGTGATGTCCGGAGCTCTATACTCATTTGCTCTGTCTGAATTGAACAACAGGCTTTTCTGAGCGGTGCTGATGTTTTCAGAAACTAATCTCAAAACTAGTTTTGCAGTTGATGAGAACAGTTTTATAATCTTGCCAGTTATGCACTTATGGGGTTATTTATCTTGAGTTTTGTGGTCATTTGCATCAGTAACACTTGAACTAGCCATTATTGTCAAACCCATTTTAAAAAAGCTGAAATATAATAATACTCTAAAGAAAATTCCAACATTTTTACAGTAAAATGTATTCCTCTGTAATAGATTTGAGCAAATCTCCATTCCTCCTCTCAATCCAAGATGTAGATTTTTAAATGCCGACCTAGCTGGATGTTAAAAAGTAACACAGTGATGAGATAACAGTAGGTCCTGAGTACGCATCAGTGTGCAACATGTGTTTTATGTCAATTAGAAGAACATTTGCTATATTAGTAGGAGCAAAAAAACTGAAGACATTTTTTTTTGTTTTCCATCCCATAATTATCAAAATGCCAGTGTATGTTAAGAAGAATAATTCATTGAAACAGATCATTTTTTAGGATAAATATTTATCGGTCAGAGTTTAATCTGGCGTTCAAATTTTTATACATCCCGACCGATTACATCTCTGTATGACAGCTTCCTGAATTTTATGTAATTTTAACATTGATGCCGTAACAGAGTCATTATTTTGTGAACAGCATGATAAACAGCGTAAATGAATTCATTTATACAGCTAATTAATTTAATAAGCTAACAAAAACTAATTATTTTGGCCGACTCTCCGGTGCGCCGTGAAACAATCACGGAGATGTGACTCTAGCTGTCAATCGGTCCATCTATTAGCACTGTGGTTCTAATGCGAGCAGGCTTAGAGGAGACAGGTGTGATGTTAGAGGAGAGGTGATGTTGGAGAAAACGGAGGGAGCGGAAAGTGTCACAACGGGGAAAATCAACAGCTGGAAGATGGGAGGGAAGGAAAGTGAGGGAGGAGATGTACTGGTTACAAGACGAAGGGAAATATGAAGAACATGGGTGGAGAAGCACAGAGGGGACAAACTGGCTGATCTTTGTCAGGAACATCCTAATCCATTAAAAACGTCACTGGAGGCAACGTCCCTCCTTAACAGTTGGTTACTTAGAGAGGGTGGGACTATATATAACTGTGTTGCCCACAGATGAACAGATGTGCTTTGCAGAACTGGCTGTCATTGACATTTAAAAGGCTGCTTTGGGGGTCTTCTGCTCCTCACCATATGACACTCGTGGTAGGGGAAACTGTTTGTTATACACTCAGAAAGGCTAGGAAGGTGCCGGATAAAACAAGTGCTTCCTGACACCACAGTCTTCTGGACGAGATTGAAGCACGGTGACTAACAGCCTTTGAGGAGTTGCTGTGTGGCAAACAGAATGACTAAATCCATCGCAGGTGGCATTCAAACCCTGAAGTCCCCGCGGCGGTGTGACTGTCAGGACCTGTGACTGTTATGAATGGCTAATGCTACTTGTTAGCATGTTGGAGTAACTCTTGCAGAGTAGCAGAAGGCTTTGGAGGCACTGAGAGCATGTATTGATCCGTGTGAACCCTGCACGGTGCAGCGATCTCCTGATGAGGTGCGATTTTTCCCTCAACACCTCACATGGCCTATATAAAGCCCATCCATCACGACAAGCGCTGGCCTATTTCTACTCCTGTCACTTTGCCGGGAAGAATTTTTCCATGTGCATGTGTCAACTTGTATCTGTATGTGAGTGTGGGTGTGTGTGTGTGTGTGTGTGTGTGTGTGTGTGTGTGTGTGTGTGTGTGTGTGTGTGTGTGTGATGAAGGGTGGTGTTCCACCCCAGGTGAGGCCAGAGAGGTTTGGGGTTGACCTAGTTTAGCTGTGGGAGAGAAATATCGCCTCCATGGAGAAGAGGTAATTGGCTGCCTCCGACTGTCCTTCTGGCTCATTGTGGGCGGTAATAGGTTATTCACACAGGTCTTTTTAGAGACCTCAGTGTGTGTGTGTGTGTGTGTGTGTGTGTGTGTGCGTGTGTGTGTGTGTATCTCTACTGTTTGTGTAATTCTGAGCTTATTTATTAGAGCTGATAATCAGTGTCTGTGCAGCAGTCCCCGTGCAGTAGATAAGATGGGAAGCATGACCGCGTACCTGGCTGGGGTTGGCTGTAGTTGCTCTGTCGTTCCCGGTGCGAGCCGAGTGTGAGCCGAAGCTCGTGCGTGTAGTCGGGGAGGGTTTCTCGTGAGGTGTAGGAGCGGTGATGAGCGCGGCCGTCCTCGCTCTCGTCCGACGAGCTGGTGTAGGACATCTCCATCTCATGGCGCCCCTTAGACAATGGTTGGTAAGGTTTACTGTCCATCTCCTCCATGGCTTGTAGGGGCTCTACTTTAGTGTCTCAGCAAACCCGCAACGCAGAGCACAGAGTCTGCAGAAAGTGAGCAGTGTGACGGGACAGATGTGGACGAAGGACGACAGGAGGATGTGAGGACAGTGAGAAAGAGGAAATGAAGGAATGGAGAAAAACAGCACGTAAGCCTGTTATTGAGCAAAGCTGAACTTCACTTTAACATCCAATATCCATTCATAAACAGCATGTAGCCCTCCTTCATAATTCCCACCAAAGGTTAGCGGCAAATCAATACACTCAAATGGAGCAGCGACGGCGGCGGTCCAGTCTAACGGCCGAAACCAAGCCCCGTTTAGCTTTCCGTCCTCTGCCGTCCCTGCTCTCACCGTCATCTCAACGCTTTATCTCTCTTTTTTCAGACAACCATTCACAGGCCGCAGATAAATCATCAGATTTGTCACCAAGAGCCGTGTCTGTCACTCCCGTTAAACACCGTGGCTCGCCATCTTTGTGAAGTGATGATGGAATACTTTTTGACAAAAGTCTTTTCAGAGTCACTGGCCTCCCAAACGGAGGGATGATAAATCAGATCTGCTACCGTCGCTCAGATTCTTCTGCTCTCCTCTCCATCACATCAAAATCTGCCTCTGATAACGGCCGACGCCGTGCTCTTACAACGCCATAACTAATGATTGATCGGGCCAATGATTAGAGCGCAGGAGAAGTGATTAGAAAATACTACATTCGTATTAGTTCCTTTTTCACCGTGCCCTGCTCGAGGCCTTTCCAGCCTATTTCCTGCAGTTATAAAGCTTCTAAATGGAGCTTGAGAGGGTCATTGCTCATAGAGACAAAGTGCTATGGTATTGACCTCTTCAGGGAGTCCTGTAGTCCATATATCAAAGCCATTAGAGCGTGCCTGCCCAATACCTCAGAGATCTGCAGCACAGGGTGATCACCACTAGTCTGATACAAGTTTACAGCTGACCTTTCCACTGCTGCAGTAATGCTTTTATTCCACCTGAAAGACTCCTTCCCCTGGCCTTGCACTCACCCTCCTCATTCCCCTTTGTGCACGCACCTGTGCAGACCGCCCACTGACCCCTGACAGCTAACGCTCAAAAACTGGGCCAAGGCATTTGCATTGTTCATCTCACTCTCAACCCCCTGCAGACGTTATCACGGCACGGATTACCTGCACAAGCTCTCCGCTCGTTCGGGCTGAACGACAGCACAGAATAAAAAGATTTAAACCACTTTCTGCATCCAGCTATGATCCTACACTGTAGTATACAGTAAGCTGATATGACACAAGCCCTGTGGTTCCCTGCAATCACGATGCCTTTCATTTTGATTGGCAGGAGTTATTGCGAGGAATCAAAGCTAGCTATTATCTCAGCTGACCTGTCAGAATGGGATTGACTGGTGTCACCTTCTCTCTGGTGCGGCGTGGTGCAAGTATACATTAGCCTGTGAGCTCTGAGCTTGCTGCAGGCACCGACTGCTGTCTTTCTCTGCAGAGGCTCTCTGTCTTTCTTTTTTTTGTCTGCTACATTTTTAACACGCAAGCATAAAAGCATGCAATCCAGCATGGTGGTGCGCCGTGTGCTGTACACAGACAGGCAGCCTGATGATCGCTTTGCTTACATGTTGTCTTGCGATTTGTACAAAACTAAACAAATCTCTTTCCCAGTGAAGTCCCTCTTCTCGCAGTCTACCTCTGCTCTGCCTGCTCCTTCTACCTTACACAATCTCCACCCTCCACCTAGTCCTCCGAGAGCCCTGCATTTAGAGAAGTAAGCCTGCTAGCGGGGGTTATTCCTGCTAATTCTTTCCCGCAGCGGGGTGCCCATCACGGGGTTTGATTCTAGGGTTTGATGTTGAAATCTGGAGGTTGTTTCCTAGAGCCAAGCTCACTTCAAACAAGACACGCGGGCATTCTCTAGGACAAGTCAGCATGCGCCACCTGAGCACAACACCAGCCTAGATGTGCAGCTGAGGGTGAACCAGCTCGGGGCGTGTGGCGAGCGCCGTGGCGGTGTTATGGCTCTCCAGCTGTAAAAAGCAAACACGAACGACCGTGGAAAGATCTGAGGATGTTGGAATAATTAGCACCGTTCTAGAATAAATGTGTAATCCCTGAAAGATTTGTATTATGTCCCCTCATCATTTTTTTATGATGTGTGTGTGAAGCTGCTGCATGGTGCACTGGGGCTTGCCTTAGTGAGGCTCAGAGTTTAGCCGCTCCACACCATCAGCTCCCAGCGCTGAATTGAACCATCCCAGCAGAAAACGGGAGTACGA